ATTTAGCCTCAAAGGCTCACCTGGAGCCACGGGCATCCCTGGCCGCCCAGCGTGCCGTGCGCTCCTTCGCGGGACGCTGGCGCACGCCGCCAGCCGGCGCCGCGGGCAGCAGTGGGAAGCTTTGTGGGATTTCAGGTTGATAGGGCGCTGTGTTTTTTGATGAAATTTAGAGCTTTGGGGAGGTTGAGGGTGTGAATGAAGCGGTTTGGCCCTGGGGTGAGTTGCTTAACAGCCGAACGACGGCTCACATCCACGGGGCTGCAGGAACCGCCGGATTCTTCATCGTCATCCAAATAATTCACCCCTAAACCCTAAACCCGGTACTCCGCGAGCAAAAACAAGGATCTCAGCTAGGCGCCCTTGTATGGGAGAATCTGCCACCAAGGGTGTACCGGGTATGCTTCTGGACGCTGGAGTGCAGTTGGCTTCTTTGGTGTGTAGGGTTCACCTACTTCAAAGCCGTCAAGCAACCACCATCAAACAAGCACCGTCACAAAGTATGGTAGAAGCCCAAACGTTGGAAACCCAATAGCCTCAATCCTTAAGGTTAATGTATAGGGAATCCCAGCACTATTTGGCCTTAATTCGGTTTCCAACTTTACGGAGTTTACTGTAAGTTATCGGAGTCGTCGAGAAGCCAGGCAGGCCCTAAACCCTGCCCTGCAACCTGAACTCGAAATCACACCCTAAGCCCTCAACCCCCTAGACAAGAAATCACCAACCTGACCGCCCTAACTCGTCCAGCCTGAACTACATATGTATATATAGATATAGATATAGATATAGATATAGGTATAGATATAGATATAGATATAGATATAGATATAGATATAGATACAGATACAGATATAGATATAGATATATATATATATATATATATATGTATATATATATATATATATATATATGCGAATACCCATTGCCAAAAAGCGTGCGAAGCCCCAAATCTAAGCTTATTGAACCCCTAGACACGACAGCTTCTCGAAGGCGCGAATGCCTCGTTGCGGATGCTTTCTGACGACGTGTCCGACTTGCACGTGGCGGCACCCCGCATGATCCAATTGGATTTTTGTGTAAAGGAGTTTTTCAGGAGGGGTCTAGGTCTAAGTTCTTTGTTTCTTCGTTGCTAGGATGGATTGCGAGTTTATTTTACTGGGGAACACTTTGTCGTAGGCGTGGTCGGAGGTTGGCTCTCTTCTGGTCCTCCGATCATTTCTGCGTCGGCTCTTCCTTGGTTCTTGTGTCACTTGTCTTCTTTGTGGACAGTTTCCCCAGACGAATGGCCTGCCGTAATTCTGCAGCCATCACCAATTTCGAGAAACATCTCGGCCGTTTCGGCTCTAGATTGAGGAACAAGAGCTGAGGGTTTATGTTTAGCGAATGAGATGTATCTAGGTACTCGGTGGATTGAGGTGTAAGGTTTCGATGGCTTCATCGTGGTCAGCTTTGCCCCAAGGCCACGCGAGTGAAGCTTAGATCTTAGATGCAGACGCCCTGAGCCCCGGGCCGTGTCCCAGTACCGCAAACCCAAAGACCCCAGGCCTTCAGGCCTAAACCCGATCCGAGGACCCCAAACCCGAAGCCCTCATCCCCAAAGCGAAGCCGAAACCAATAGATCGGAGAGTTTCGAGATTGAGCTCAGGGAGGTCTTCAAGTACTCAGAAGCGGCACGATGCGTAAGACTCTATATGTGTTCTAGAAGGAATCCCCCTAAACCCCAAACCCCTAAACCCCTTAACCCCTAATCCTAAACCCTCAACCCATTATTTCTGATTGCATGGATTCCCTCAGGTGATGGCCGTCTCGGGCCGCAAGCTCTCCATGGTGGAGGACCCCAGGATCTGACTCTGCTGGAGCTTCTGATAAGGATCCCTGAGACTATACGGTTTAGGGTTTAGGGTTTGGGGTTTAGGGTTTAGGGTTTACGGTTTAGGGTTTAGGGTTTGGGGTTTACGCAAGGCACAGCAGTCGTTGCCACCCCGCTTGGGCGCCCAATTCCGATGAGAGTTGTTTCGGTTTCGGAGTGCGCATGAGAGCTTCGGAGACTGGGGCCTTGGGTCGGCCGCTCCAGTTTTTCTTTTCCCACCCGCGCCCATAAAGGGCGGCTCCCACCCTTAACCAGCTCCGCCTTTTAGGGTTTAGTTTCCTAAACTCTTTTTTTTTCTTTCGGAGGGTATTTTCTTTCGCAAGGTACGAGAAGCGAGTTCTGCAGCAATGCATGCGGTCGTATAAGACGCGAGTGCTGTAGCAATGCATGCATTCTAAGGGTAAGTATCTTAAATTTTTTTGTTTGAGTGTACGTGACGGCTGGCTTACAGGAGCCAGAAGGCTATGCTAAAGCATAGAAATTACGATTTATCCGAGGTTAAACCAACAACCCACGACGTGGAAAGCCCTGCCGCTATGACTGGGCACATGGTCTTTTCAACTTTCGGTGCCACCCGGCTCAGGTGCCGGCAAAGGAAGCGACGGCACATCATGACCGTAGCGTAACTGTCTGTGAATATCTGCTTCAGGTTCGAGCCAACATGTTCCACCCGCTTGGACTTCAGGAAAGCATTCTATCCGCATCTATCGAGCCCCAGATTCGGTCCAAATACATGTCCAAACCCCTTTGCTTCAGGCTTGTGGAACAAGATTATTGGTGCAGGATTCTTGGCCCAATCGTATGATCCGCGCAGGGGGAAAATTTGCTTTAGGTTCGAGCCAACATATTCGAGTCACTTGAACTTCAGAGAAGCTTTCTGTCCGAATCTATCCAGCTTCACGTTTTGTCCGAATACATGCCCAAGCTCTTTTGCTTCAGGTTTGTCGAAAAAAGATTTTGGGTGCAGGATTCTTGGCCCAATCGCATGATCCGCGCCGGGGGAATATCTGCTTTAGGTGTTCCAGTCGCTTGAAGTTCAGGAAAGCATTCTGTCCGAATCCATCGAGAAACAGAATTTCAGTCCAAATTCATGTCCAAACCCGTTTGCTTCAGATTTATCGGAACAAGATTTTGAGTGCAGGATTCTTGGCCCAATCGTATGATCCGCGCCGGGGAAATATCTGCTTGAGGATTTAGCGCTAAACCCTATTCCTAAACACTAAAGCTTTAGGATCTAGCGCTAAACCCTATTCCTAAACACTAAAGCTTTAGGATTTAGCGCTAAACCCTATTCCTAAACACTAAAGCTTTAGGATTTAGCGCTAAACCCTATTCCTAACACTAAAGCTTTAGGATTTAGCGCTAAACCCTATTCCTAAACATTAAAGCTTTAGGATTTAGCGCAATTCTTTAGGATTTAGGCACCAGAATGGGCGGAACCCCAAGATCGGCCCCTGCCCTAATTAAAATGCACATTTTATGAACAGAATTTATCACTCCAAAATCTGCCTCCGATTTTCCAGAAATCAGCCGCCAAACCCTATTCCTAAACACTAAAGCTTTAGGATTTAGCGCTAAACCCTATTCCTAAACACTAAAGCTTTAGGATTTAGCGCTAAACCCTATTCCTAAACACTAAAGCTTTAGGATTTAGCGCTAAACCCTATTCCTAAACACTAAAGCTTTAGGATTTAGCGCTAAACCCTATTCCTAAACACTAAAGCTTTAGGATTTAGCGCTAAACCCTATTCCTAAACACTAAAGCTTTAGGATTTAGCGCTAAACCCTATTCCTAAACACTAAAGCTTTAGGATTTAGCGCAATTCTTTAGGATTTAGGCACCAGAATGGGCGGAACCCCAAGATCGGCCCCTGCCCTAATTAAAATGCACATTTTATGAACAGAATTTATCACTCCAAAATCTGCCTCCGATTTTCCAGAAATCAGCCGCCAAACCCTATTCCTAAACACTAAAGCTTTAGGATTTAGCGCTAAACCCTATTCCTAAACACTAAAGCTTTAGGATTTAGTGCCAAACCCTATTCCTAAACAATAAAGCTTTAGGATTTAGCGCTAAACCCTATTCCTAAACACTAAAGCTTTAGGATTTAGCGCCAAACCCTATTCCTAAACACTAACGCCTTAAGATTTAGCGCTAAACCCTATTCCTAAACACTAAAGCTTTAGGATTTAGCGCTAAACCATATTCCTAAACACTAAAGCTTTAGGATTTCCTGTGGCTCCGTTTGCTGCTCGTTTAGGGGGTCGGGTCTCTTTACCCGCTCCAAGTGGGTCGTTTGCCTGAGAAGGGGGTTCTTTGATTGTTGTGGGTGTTCGAGAGCCCTCGAAATCCATAGAAGCCCCAGAATGTGTTCGAGAGCCGTCGAAATGCACAGAAGCCCCGGAATGGAATCCCATACGATATGTTCGAGACAAGGGAAAGGCAACTTCGCGTTGCCAATGAATATATGCTGAACAGCCCTTGATCACTTGAATTTGAAGCTGCCAATGAACACCCTGAACGGCCCTGGAAAGTCGCCGCTGCTGCTCGTGTCATCTTTTCCCTTCCTTCCACCCTCTCGAATTCTCCAAACATGCACAGCAGCACACGCTGCAGTGTGCGAAGAGCTTGCGCCTTAGGCGAGACCCTTCTACTCAATCTACTCGGCCTCCCAATGAAATCTTCTTGAAGTTGAACAGAGAAGACCAATGGGTTCATCGATCAAGCTGATAAAGAAGAATGGCACAGCAGCTCCTGCATAATGTGGTGCACGAAATGAAGCTTCGGAATGAGACAAAATCGTCTCAAACCTGCCTGGTAAGCCAACGTCGCCAATCGGCTATAAGTCTGCAAAAACAGCAAACCCCAGGTCGAAACTTGCTTCGCTTGTGCAGCCGACATCCAAACACCACAGCTGTACAATCCTCGCATGCACATGTTTCCCAGCTTGGTGGCGCGAGCCTGATGTTGGATTCGGGAATCCCCATCGAAACATTGAAATCCGGAAGTTGATTTCGGAAGACTGCTCAAAGAAACAAAAGCTTGTGCCACCACAGCAGCCCAACTGAAAGAAAGACCCGAATCCTATATTTCACTGAATATACAAATCCTTACTTAAAACTCTTAAGAACCCTAAGTAAGAGCCATAAACAACTGATGTCGAGGCACGAACTCCTGAATCCAATGTGGAAGTTGATTTCGGAATACGGCTCAAAGAAAACTTATAAGGCTTCGATCGATCTATAGCCAATTAATGCTTTTAGAGACATATACATATACATATATATATCCGTTCAACTAAAAGACAAACCCGAATCCTAAGTTTGCAACCTTATCCCCGAATCCTAAGTTTGCAACCTTATCTGTATAATGTTTATTTAGCGAAACTTAACTAACACCAAACAAAAAACACATAAACTGCGATGTCGAGGCACGATCTCCTGGATCATTGGATCGCGAGTATCTTTAAAGTGGTCCTCGAGATACTCCTGTAGCCACACAAAAAGCCGGGTTGTGACGAACCCCTTACTCCAATGCCCTGCAGGCATGTTGTTGGCCTTGTCCCATCCGAGGAAGTCGCGAGTAAAGCTGGCGAGGTATCCGTAAACCTTGAGTCTCTTACAATGCGCGGAGTATGATGCAAACATATTGGAAAGGCGTGTTTCCAAGGAATCCCCCTCATCCGCAATGGCGTCAAGTAGTACTACCAACGCACTGGCGATGAAGGCTTTTCCAACGCCCAGATGCCAACAGTGCCAAATGTCAAGCCTGTAGAAGAGAACTGAGTGGTCGTGTGGAACTTTGAGAAGTGGAGCGTGTTGATTGAAGCCTGGGTTCAGCCCCACTGTACCGAGCCAGCTGGCGCTGGCCCGGAAATCTTCCCAAGGATGATCTGGCTTGTTGGGCTGCTGTTCAACCCCTGCGTTGCAGATGAAACATATGCCTTGACAGCATTTTTTCGAGCTGCTAGATTTTGGACACATCGAGTATGTTCTGGTGAATTGTCCTGCTTTGCCGAGGTACGGGAGGTCGCCTTTCGCCCCGTAGCAAAAAAAATGCAACCGGCGCAGCTCGTTGTTCTCAGTCACCTCGATACCGTTCAAAGCCAGCTTTCGCAGATCCTTGGCGTATAAAGTAAGCATCGTCTCTAATGCATCAGGTGCCCATTTGTATAGAGCATGTGGCATGGCTGCGAAGATAAAGTGGGTGGTGACCGTCGAGCCCAAAAAATTCAAGCCCATGCAGTCGTCCTCCACAGCGACTTTGTGTTTCGGTCGCTCAGCTGTGTGCGATCCTCTGCCAAGCAAGCCGTGGGTGCTGATGATCATTATCGGCGTCTTTCGATAAGACCGCCCTTCATCCCCATGATGGAGGAGGGGGACCACATCCTCGAGGCGAACCCTTCCTGCAGCGGCTAAAGTAAAGACTGGGTGATCTGGTCTCAGAACCTTGACTCTCTGCCAAAACTCGTAGCAGACCCTTTGACGCTCCAGGGCGTTCTTCAGTCCGGTCAAGTAGTGAAGGCGGTTGGTCTTATTCAGAAACTGCACCCATGATGTCATGGTTATGTACGGCATGGCCTTCTGCGTTGAAAGATCCACATATGAAAGAGGAATGTCGAGGGCACAACCAGCTTCTTTGAAGACTTTATGCGCCCCATTCTCTGAATGAGAAATCGGAATCTGAGCAAGTCTCTTCACAGCAGGCTCTTTCGAAGAGGATGCCCGGGCGTGAAGAATCACGTCTTTGCAAGGCACCTGGGCGAAACAGGACATTTTACGGAACCACAAAAAAGAATCAGCGAGAAGTTGTGAAGCAAGTTTTGTGCAGTGCCTAACCTGCTCGTAACACAGTGCAGCAGTGCCAATTTTTGTTCGATCTCTATCGGAACATTCGCAGGGGAAGGCCTCTGCGTGCAAGCAGACAAAACTAATTTCGCGTGTGAGAAACTAGCATGGAAATCAGCCACCAATAGGTATGCCAAGATCGGCTCTTGCTCCCACCACATAAACATAGAAATGCGAAGCACTCGAATTCAACTGGCCAGGCCCTTCGCCACCTGGCTGTTCATTCCGGCAACCAGGAATATTCGAATGACGATCTATCAAGGCAGCCTCTAACATCTCAGCGCTTCCTTTATTTCCTGTACAATGGAGCACCTTCATTTTTGAAAAATTTGCGTGCCGGTAACTAGCGAACCGCCTGATGGGGTTGGTTGTGTATCCTATTTTGAACACACAGACAGACCCCCCTAGACGTGACCTAAACAACTCGAGCTTTCTCTTGCAGTGCTGCAACACCTTACCAGCGGTAGGGTTCGTTGAGACTACGTTTAGGCAGACTACGGATATGTCACATGTCTTCAAAATAACAGCTTCCTTAGCCACCGCTGTTTCGCAGTTCTCAAACTCAGTGGAAAGTGACTCCAGCTCAGCATCAGTGGTCGTAGATGGCGCATCTACCTGACATGGCAGGCTATGCATGTGTACAAACACATATATACACACACGTATACGTACCCCATTGCATACTTGCAAAACCGTGGCCCTCAAACTGACCCCGGCTATGTCTAGCCAGCTTCCTGTAGATCGCCTGCATGCACACATACATGTGTGCTAGGCCTGCATGTATTATAAGTTTAGGAACTTCGAAAGCTGATCTGAGTTGGGGACCCCTGGGTAACAATCAACTACATAAACATGTTGCATATATCTTCGTCGCAACCCAAATAGGCAGAGTGGAGTTGCATGGAACAAGCTAAGCACAACTCCATGAAGGTCTACATTGTCCCTGAATCTCTCGCTTTCTCTCTTTCTCGAAGAAGATAGCTGTTTATTTACAGAGATAGATAGCTAGATCGATAGACTTGTATAGGTATATATATATATATATATATGTTATAATTAATAGTTTCTAGATGGGCACGTAGATCGGTAGAAAGATGAGAAGGATGGACTAATCGAGAGAGTCGTTGGTAGCTATATACTGCAGCTACAACACTTAACACACATAAATGTAAACACATACTCAGGGAACACAAACTTACAGATGTACTTATTCAGTGGTATGGGGCTGCCCATTCGAGTTAATAGCGCATCGACTTCATCCAGACCAGAGAGTCTTTAGAACTCCAGTGGATTTTGCCCTAGGGCTGCATGTAAGTAGACAAGGATGGGAAAGCCACAACACAAACCCAACACTAGAAGTATACCTCAGCTCATTCAAGCTTCCTGTAGCTTTCATGCACCCCTGAGTGTATGCATGCGGCAGAGTTGCCACGGCTGCCGGCACAGCACGAGCACGATGGCGCAGAGGACAGTTCTGGTTGACTTTCAACCTGAGGATAGCCAGTATAAGAGAGGTTGTATTCACGAAGGGGAGTTTAGGACTGCTTGGCCAGGGTGGAAATTTCAGGTTCGCAGCGCTTGTATAGAGATTGGCACGGATGCTGTTGCATGGATCAGCTGAGTAGCTTCTTGAGCGGTGGAACCACATCAGCCGTGACAGACTGCCATAGCGTAGTTGGCTCTCTGGGAGAACCAAAGATCAGGTCAACTAAATCAGCCTCCCACTCGTCCTCTGTTCCTTGCATCGCGCGATCCTTTAGCTGCATGAAGCATATATGCTGCGGGAGTGCGTCTGCTGTTGATTTAGCATGACTTCGCAAAACACTATGAAACCCGTGGCACAAGGGGAAGTAAGCTGAGCGGGGCACTCCCTTGCCAATCTGCCGTGCGAAGGAAACCATCTCATCGCTGGGGCCTGTCGCAGGGGACTCAAGATTGATGAGTTCGAAACCAGATCGATCGAGTGCATACGCTAGTCAGTGGAGCTGCTATCGAACGTTGTTTCTCACAGTGGCTCGTGTCGCACAACACGTGCCTCGGAATCTCATTCCCGCATGAATTGCTAGCTGCAAAGGTTGCAGATAGCTTCGACGATCTTCACAGTAGGCTATCCGATCGCATTGCATCAGAGTCGCTCCCAGCACCCTTCATCCCTTCAGTCTTCACTTTCACGGCTGAGTCAGGGTTGGTGGCTGAGGGAGGATTTATTGAAGGCTTCGGTAGGGTTACCTATGATAGTACTATATAATATATACACATAGACTGATTCGAAGGGTGTTCAAGATTGCATGTACAGGCCCTCGACAAAATCGCATCCACGCGATAATCAGCCAGACTCAGTCAGTTTCTGTGCTTGGGGCCGCCTTCTTGAAATTTCTCTCAGCTGACCTCGATACGATGGTATCTGTACAATTGTTGCTCGATCAAAGTTGCAAACACTAGTAGGACATGCACTATGCCGAGCACACAGACTGAACTCAACAACAAATCATTGCAAGGCCAGAAGCTTCGCTTGGTTTTCGGCAGCCAGGAGGCGGGAGCACCTAGATGTTGTCAGGATCGATGGGGACTGCGTGGGTATATCTTTATGATAGGATAGTGCTCCCTTTCTCTGCTTTTTTAGTTGGGCGCACACGTGGGTTCAGGAATTCGAGATGATGAGCTTATAAGGCAGTATGTAGGTTCCCAGCCTGAATTCCCAAATCGTCTAGATGTGTATCCTATATGTATACACACAATAAACAAGTATATGCTATATATATATATATATATAGACCTGACTCTATACATATGTACATATACAAGCACATGTTGAACGACCCGAACCTTGCTAACAAAAAACTCCCGACGACTGTCATCTGCGTGCTAGCAAGCTGCGCAACAGAAGTAGTCTTCCACACGGCATCGATCTGGGCCTGCAGCCTCAGATAGAAACGATCGAGTCTACTTAAGGTATATATACAAACCCGATATAGACACATATGTGCCTTACATATATATCTATATATACATACATAAATATAAATATATATATATATATATATATATATATAGATATGCAGTTATCGACCCTATATACATACATATATATATATATATATATATATATATATATATATATAGTGATCGATACATATATATATATATGTATGTATATGTATATATATATATATATATATATGTATACCCGATATATATATATATATATATATGTATATGTATATATACAATCCCCATACAAACCCAATCATTAATAACCCCAAAACTGATGATAACTCTAGCAACGGCGAGGACTATGCAGGCAGCTGGAACTAAAAGACTCGCGGCGCACGAAGGTACACGAGATCTAAACAGTGTTAGCTGCAACTACGTTTGTAATCGCACTTGATTATTCTGAGGCCAGGAACGTCTGATCCACTGAACCTTTCGTCGTCTGAGCATGTAGATCCACGAGGGCTTCATACCCTGATTCCACTTCTTTCAGCTTGCTCTCCAAGTTCTCCATGGCCCTGGGACCGGTTTTGGATGCACAGCTTGGGGCCTGATTGGGAATATTTCGACTAGGACTCTACGGTTTAATTGGCATATGGATGAGTAAGGTTGCAGTCAGCTCCTCTACATGCAGAGGCTACCGATACAACTATGCTCCTGTTGTGTATGTGTACGTCGCATATATAAATATGCATATATATATATATATATATACATATAGCTATATATATAGGCCCTTTACATATATACTGATATATCTTTCGCTCGCTACACTAAGAAGGGCAGCTGCTAGCTGGATGTGCCTAGCCGACTAGGTGGAAACATGTTCCAGTCTGTGTAGGTGATGCGTACGTACAAATATAACATGCAAGCAGATATTGCGTGCACACGTATGCATACACATGGGAAGCCGGGAAGCCCAGCCTGTGCAACAGACATACACACACACACACACACGTAGGTACATATGGCTACGTTGCTTCCTAGCTTGCATTAGGCAGGGAAGGTCATCGAAGAGACAGAGAGAGAATGAGAGAGAGACACAGAGAGACCGCGAAAGAGAGGAGAGAGAGAGAGAGAGAGAGAGAGAGAGAGAGAGAGAGAGAGAGAGAGAGAGAGAGAGAGAGAGAGAGAGAGAGAGAGAGAGAGAGAGGAGAGAGAGAGAGAGAGAGAGAGAGAGAGGAGAGAGAGAGAGAAAGAGAGAGAGAGAGAGACAGAGCGAGCGAGAGCGGAGAAAACGATGAGCTATGCAGAAAGTCCTGGGCATCACATGATGATTCGACCCATCCTTCTCACACCCACTCATCTCCATCCATGCGATCGTTCTGTCTAGCCTTTAGGATATCCCCGGCCCACTCACCTAGAGAGCCACTTACTCCTTCACCCACTTTCTGAGTCAAAACTCTCTCTCTCTCTCTCTCTCCTCTCTCTCTCTCTCTCTCTCTCTCTCTCTCTCTCTCTCTCTCTCTCTCTCTCTCTCTCTCTCTTGATCTCCGACTTCTTTCCATCTGCTATCTGGCGAGCTGCTTGGTTGCACGGCACTCCTTGCCAGGGTTGGTACACTGCTCCACACGTCCGACGAGGTCGTGGGCTTTGGACATCTTTGCCAGCACCGTCTCGATGCACTTGTTCAGGAACTTTGCTTCCTACAGTGGTATGTCTGTTAATTTGCATGAGATAGGATTGTATGCGCTAGAAGATTGTATGCGAGCTGGTTAACTTAATTGTTCGAATCCTTTGGCAACATCTAGTATACACTGGCGCTATCATAGCGACCTAGCCTAACTGGGGTTTAAGATGGTTGCGTAGCCTCGCTTTCGCTGGCCAAGTTCACAGCTGGCGCTTGTGAGCCAGGAAGTGCAGGCATGGAGGAAGGTGAGGGCCCCACGCCCGCAACTGCAGGAGCACCGTCCCTAACAACAGGTGCACCAGGAACAGGCCGCACAGGAGGTTGAGGAGCATCGAAATCGTGCCACTGTCCCGACAACTGCGGGCCATTGGCTGCCTGCACAGATGCGGTGTAGTAGGGTTATATAGTTGCTCTCTCTCTATATATATATATATATTATGTATTACATATATATATGTGCATAATCTGAACCATGCAGCCCCTGATGCCTGCGATGTCGATTCATGTTGCTCTGTCTCCTGCAAGCGATCCAACACGTGTCCGGACTCTTCGACGTCCACGTGAAACTTCTCGATGCGTTGGTCGTACTTGTCCAACCTGTCTACTTGCATCTTGATTTAGAGTCGGTGTGTGTCTACTGGGGCAAGAATCGGAGCAGAACTTATCTGAGATCCCAACTTGACCTGTCCATGCTGGCGGCAGTAGGCTTCAACCATCTTAATGTAGTTCCTGAGGCGAAGAGATCTACATCAGCATGGCGAAGAGGTGGGCTGGATTTCCAGGTCTTGAGTTGCTTTCTGGGAAGCTTCTATTAAGGAGATATAGGGAAAAGCACATGGCTGAGCAGCATCTATATGGAACCTAATACAGCGTGTCTCATGCTCAGCATCTGACGCAGACCACTTCTCTTCATCCTTCATCTGCTTCAGTGTCAGCCACCTCTTCCTGACCTTGTTTTCCTTTTCCTTGAGCTTCTCCGTGCTCTTCTTGATGGAAGTCAAGAACTTGCTCCTACGTACAAGTTGCACCAGTGGTTCTATATAAGCCAAGATTGTATGTTGTCAGAAACTTGTGCAGCTAGAGTCCTGTCCCAGCCACACCGCTGTAGCTCATCCATCAGTGCATCTCGGGCAGGGCCACCTTTCAAGTAGTCCTCGTGCACTGATTCTGGCACTTTCAACTTACCGTTCTTGCCCTTCTGGCAAAGTCTTCGAAGCTTGTGGTAGGCTGCCGTTTCGCTGAGCTCCTGCAGCGCAGTGCACGATCCTACAAACATCCTACATTGTATATGGCCCATATACGGCTCTATGCATGCATGTATATGTGTACATATATACACATATATGTATGTAATAAACTTCTGCTATATAGGTACATATATGTATACATGTTTATATTTATATATGCCATGTATCTATATATATATATATATATATATAAAAACCTATATACATATATAGATATATGTATATATATATATGTAGATATCGGTCGAGCTCCCAAGCTTAGGTATATAGTCACACACACCATGCGGACACGGTCCTGATACACATGCATGAGTGAGTGTGTCTGCGTGTATAGAACCGTGTCTGTTCACAGGCATACATGGAGTCAAACCTATGTGCATGCACCGTCTATAGACAGTTTTATTCGGCACATATGTGTATAGGCCTTTTCGTTGCCGCCCCAAACCACACAGCACATGTCAACATGGCTTGCTACAGCATTTGCTGCAACTTAGCCCTTGCTTAAGCACCCACTGCCGTGGGAGCGCTATGAACACACACACACACACATCTCTCTCTCTCTCTCTCTCTCTCTCTCTCTCTCTCTCTCTCTCTCTCTCTCTCTCTCTCTCTCTCTCTCTCTCTCTCTCTCTCTCTCTCTCTCTCTCTCTCTCTCTCTCTTCTTCTCTCTCTCTCTTCTCTCTCTCTCTCTCTCTCTTTCTCTCTCTCTCTCTCTCTCTTCTTCTCTCTCTCTCTCTTCTCTCTCTCTCTCTTTCTCTCTCTCTCTCTCTCTCTCTCTCTCTCTCTCTCTCTCTCTCTCTCTCTCTCTCTCTCTCTCTCTCTCTCTCTCTCTCTCTCTCTTACATTTATCTAATCCCTACAACTCTACGTCATCTGTATTTCCTATACATGTCTGAGTGTGTGTGCATGCAGCTATATATATATATATATACACACGTGCACGATTCACACATGTATATGCAGACACGTACATATACATATACACACACACATGCAGGTCTCCATCTATATATACATAGAATCATGCAGATATATGTACACAGATGTGCTATACACATATGTTGATAAATCAGACTCATGTAAACACGTATACCTATATATATATATATATATATGTACATATTTATGTATATATCGTATATACAGATTCACAGCTGCATATCATATGTATATATATGTACATATGTGCATATATACATGCATATACACGTATGCGAAGAAAGAACTATATATATATATATACACGCACACATGCAAACATTTGTAGATGTATATATATATATATGTATATATATATATACAAACTTATGAAGCTACCTCTAGATATATAACTATATAGATATATAGGTATATACACATAAGCACATGCATGCACATACCTACATATGTATACGTGTGCTTGCACATGTGTTTTCTGCATGTATATGCATGTATCGTATCTGTGTGCGCACGAGTTGCAACACCCTGCACACACAATCGCGGAAAAGACAAATACACACACAAACACATTTCACACACATCTCACAGCCTTCCCCGCGAGCCTCATTGTCCCCGGCACTGCCAGAGCTCTCATCATCACGTGCGGATGTTGTGGAATGAGTGGGCGGGGTAGGGCGCAAGTTGCGTTTGTCAAGGGTGGTTGGAGTAGCAGACTCTGACGTGTTCGCCTTGGATGACGGGGCCTGCGAGGGTTTCGCTGGTGCTCGCACTGGGGTTGCCACGGGCGTGCTTTTCTCCTCCTCTGAAGAGTTGAGCGGGACTGCACATGGTTTGGGGCAAGATTTCGCAGCTGCAGGCTTCGAACGTCCAGCAGGTTGCCCGGGCCCCGAGAAGCGTGGCCGCTTTGGCATTGGCTGCTCGGGTGCTTCCGCAGGGGCATTCATCAGGGAGGCTTTCGGTCCAGCATCTTCGGGCTCCTTCTTTACCTCAGATCGAATCATTCGATATAGCGAATCTGGAACCCGCGATAGAAAGCTTTGACAAAAGCTCATCGAGAGCCCAAACCATCCAGTCTGTCTTGAGGCCTTTCATGAGCCCATAATCCCTTAAGTACAACACGAAATCCTGAAAATTACAATCCTGTCACTGTAAGTTTATGAGCCCATAATCCCTTAAGTGCAACACGAAATCCTGAAAATTACAATCCTGTCACTGTAAGTTTATGTCATATTGTGCCAGTTTGCAAACTGGATCAGATCCGTTCTTGAGGGGGCAATGCTGGGTTGATCCAAACCAGATTGAGGGGTTCTCCTGAAACTTTCAGTGGTGGAACAATCAAGACCGAAACTGTTCGGGGCTTCGGGACTTTCCAAGATGATGCGATCTATATAGGGCCGTTCTATTTCTTGAACTTGAATCTTCAATGCACTATACACAGTAGTATGTAGAACTATATTCGCCCTCAATGAAGCTATCGATGTTACATGCGTCCCAATACTACATAGATTTGCAGGGTCTTCTAAGATTGGGTTTTCTATTATTGAACCCAGGTTTGCTGCAGCAGCAGGCAGGAATTTAAGTAGCTGGTTGTTGCAGCAGCAGCAAGAGGGGCACCAGGATTAGTAGTCGTAATAATATATAGTACTCCTAGACACTGGCAGTCATATAGTGGAACCGGTCATGACAGAAGTATGGTGGCAATGGTGGCGCCTGGTAGTGGTAGTAGTCCTGGTGCGAGTAGAAGCAGGAGCAGTAGCAGTATAAGTCTATAGAAATATGTCGTATAGTAATTGCATGTAGTAGTGTAAGTAGTGTCATTGCAGCAGCCATAACCGCATCTGAAACCCCTAAACCCTATATACTCCTTATAAGCGTCTATTCCTAAATGCAAGCCCGGGGGATCCCTCATGCAAGATCCGAATGAGGCCCCTGAAACTCGTAGGAATGTATGTTGCTCATGATCAAAACTCCGGGCCTTTGAGGTTCTGTCGTCACACCCATCGAGAACTTATAACTTTAAGCCACAGCCGCAGCAACTGAGGCCTGCGAAGGGAGACCATATGCATTCAGCTCCTCAGCAGTAGCCTGAGTTGGCAATGAAAGGGCTAAATTGGCGTGGATTACTCACGGGTCTGGCGTATATGGGCTTTGGGGTTTAGGTTGGTTTATAGACATAATTAATTGCCATGTACAAACGGATATGTAATATATATATATACATATACATATACACACACATGTATGTATATATGTATATACATATATGGAGAGTATACGTATACACATATAAAGTCCAGCTGCGTATGTAAATGTCTAAAAGAAATATAGATAGGCACACATATATATATATACATATCTACATATTTCCATATCTGTATACATACTGAAGTATACACAACAGCCACATAAACATATACAAACATATGTTTGCATATATGATGAACATGTATGTATACATATATATATATATATATATATATATATTCATATCATTTATATATATATATATATATACTGTATATATATATATATATATGATGATGATGATGATGATGATGATGATGATGGTGTGTATCTATATGTATATAAATATACGATATATATATATATATATATATATATATATATATACATATATACATGTACATGCAGAGCTATGTATACATATGTTTATATGTATATACACATGTATATATATATATATATATACATAGGTGTGTGTATGTATGTATGTAAGATCTTGCCAGGTTGGGTTCGATACAGGTCAAATAAAGCAAAAGTAGTACAGTTGCAGACTCGCGGCAGGTAGTGTCTCCTTGGCTATTTGGGAAAACAGCATCATGATGGGTTACGTGGGTTTGGATATACATGCATACTAGCTGTATAGTACCTCAGTCCTAGAATCCGCATTGGCCTGTTGAGCAAGAGCCTCCTCCAGCTGCATGTACTCATTTTGCAAGACCTGCCAGCCACATGTATTTGACCGGGCACACATGCCCAAACCCCTATAGAAACCCATGCAAGCCAAACTAACAATCCTATGAAATTATCAATGACTGCATGGGCCTGCATCCGGTGCTGAAGGGTGTCAATGCTGGCATCATTGGCACGTGGCTCCAACTTCGACTGCCGGAGGATACCGTGACCAGCCTGGATCTCAGAACAGCTCCACTGCCTCGAGGCTAGGTGCACGGGCTTACGGGCTTCTGCAGATGTTGGAGTCGCAGTAGGAGCAGCCGTAGGCTTGGAAGAAGGCGTAGCGCTAGGTGGCATGGCTTCCCTCTTCGTCGTGGAAACGAAACGAAAACACTATACACTTATGATTCTTTTCAGCAGAAATAGTTCAGCGGGATTGTATACACGATGCATGATGAAGACAGCTGGCACACACTCTCCTGCAGGCATGCTGTCACTCATCGATCATACAAATGAAAGCCAAACTTTGCATTCCCAGCAGTTTGCAACCATCAGTCGGTGTTGCTGTTGCAGGGTTGGCATTCCAACATACCAACAGCGGCTAGCGAATTGTTTGAATTGAGGCTCGAATTTCCACAACTGCGCTTCTGGCTTGGCCCTGTATAAAGAAAGGGTTGTTTGGGGATAAAAGCAGGTCATATGGTGTCTTGAGTCAGCACTAGATTTTGCGCGTTTTTTGCGCAAAAGTTTGCACTTTTTTGCGGGTCTTTTGCGCGTGTTTTGCGGGCATTTTGCGCTTTGCGTTTTTTTTGCGGGTCGTTTTGCGCGTTTTTGCGGGTAATTTGGGTTTTGGCTCTTGAGGTAACTTGAGTGAGCAACAGGTACTCTTGAGTACGCAGTAGCAGATAAAAACAAGGTCAGTGGTTTAGTTAAGATATGAAAGGACAAGGTAAAATGTGTAATGCTGCTGAATTACTATAAAAATAGAATTACTGGTGCGTATTTCCATCTGGTATAGTAAATCGAAAGGTAGAAAGACCTAGGCGATTCGGGTTCCAGTCTAATTATACTCAAGTAAGAGGAAACGGTTTCAGGTGGGGTCCCAAGGCCAAGCTCAGAGTTGCTGTGGAAGCAGTGGCCTCCACTCGTCAGGGATCGCTAGATGTCGATTACC